GGGTCACTCAGGGGTCACTCAGGGGTCACTCAGGGGTCACTCAGGGGTCACTTAGGGGTCACTCACTCGTCCTTCCAGCCACACCTCCCCCAGGGCTCAGTGGTCACTGTGGTCACTCCCACCCCCCAGGGCTCACTCTGTGCTCACTGCCCCGGGGTCAGTGGTCACTGTGGTCACTCAGGGTCACAGCGGTCACTCAGGGGTCACTCAGGGGTCACTCAGGGGTCACTCAGGGGTCACTCACTCGTCCTTCCAGCGCCACACCTCCCCCAGGAAGGCCTCCCGGCCCAGCTGGTGCCGGCCCAGGGCCCACTGTGGTCACTCTGTGGTCACTCCGCAAGGGTCAGGGGTCACGCAGGGGTCACTCAGGGGTCAGTGGTCCCTCGGGGTCACTCACTCGTCCTTCCAGCGCCACACCTCCCCCAGGAAGGCCTCCCGGCCCAGCTGGTGCCGGCCCAGGGCCCACTGTGGTCACTCTGTGGTCACTCCCCAAGGGTCAGGGGTCACTCAGGGGTCACTCAGGGGTCAGTGGTCACTCGGGGTCACTCACTCGTCCTTCCAGCGCCACACCTCCCCCAGGAAGGCCTCCCGGCCCAGCTGGTGCCGGCTCAGGCCCCGCGAGCGCTGCAGCCGCCGCTCCACGACCACCTGGGTGGCGATGCCGGCGTGGTCACAGCCGGGCACCCAGAGCGTGGTGAGACCCCGCATCCTGTGCCTGGGGACAGAGGGGTTAACGGGGTTAACAGGGACATTGGGGTTAACGCGGACATCGGGGTCATTGGGGTCACTGGGGTCACAGCCGGGCACCCACAGGGTGGTCAGACCTCTCATCCTGTGCCTGGGGGGACAGAGGGGTTAATGGGGTCACTGGGGTCACTGGGGTCACAGCCCGGCACCCAGAGCGTGGTGAGACCCCGCATCCTGTGCCTGGGGACATTGGGGACATCAGACACATCATTGGGGACATCATTGGGGACATCAGAGTCAATGGGGTTAATGGGGACATCGGGGTTAATCAGGACATTGGGGTCACTGGGGTTAACGGGGTCACTGGGGTCACGGCGTGGTCACAGCCGGGACCCAGAGCGTGGTGAGACCCCGTCCTCAGTGGTCACTCTGGTCACTCAGTGGTCACTCCGTGGTCACTCAGTGGTCAGTGGTCACTCAGTGGTCAGTGGTCACTCAGTGGTCAGTGGTCACTCACCATCTGGCCAGCGTGTCCTGGATGGCCACGGTCAGGGCACTGGGGTCACTGTGGTCACTCCCATTGGTCAGTCACTGGTCAGTGGTTATTGGTCATTGGTCACTGTGGTCACTCCCATGGGTCAGTGGTCACTCAGTGGTCACTCACCACCTGGCCAGCGTGTCCTGGATGGCCACGGTCAGGGCACTGGGGTCACTGTGGTCACTCCCTGTCCCCATTGCCCATTCCCATGGGTCAGTCAGTGGTCAGTGGTCACTCTGGTCACTCAGTGGTCACTCAGTGGTCACTCTGGTCACTCAGTGGTCACTCAGTGGTCACTCTGGTCACTCACCAGCGGGCCAGCGTGTCCTGGATGGCCACGGTCAGGGCACTGGGGTCACTGCCATGGGTCACTATGGTCACTCATTGGTCACTATGGTCACTATGGTCACTCCCATTGGTCAGTCACTGGTCAGTGGTCACTCTGGTCACTCAGTGGTCACTCAGCGGTCACTCAGTGGTCACTCACCACCTGGCCAGCGTGTCCTGGATGGCCACGGTCAGGGCACTGGGGTCACTGTGGTCACTCCCATTGGTCAGTCACTGGTCAGTGGTCACTCTGGTCACTCAGTGGTCACTCAGTGGTCACTCTGGTCACTCACCAGCGGGCCAGCGTGTCCTGGATGGCCACGGTCAGGGCGTGGCCCAGGTGCAGGGTCCCGGTGACGTTGGGGGGGGGGAGGCACATCACGAACGCCCCCCGCGGGTTGGGGGTCTCCAGGGAGCGCTGGGGGCACAGGGGGGGTCAGAGACCCCCAAAATCCCCCCAAAAAAAACCCAAAAAAATCCCCAGAGACCCCCAGGGACCCCCCCCCAAAA